GAGGACTTTAAGTAACTGTCACCTGATGCTAAGATAATCAGGTCTCTCCCTCTCACTGGGCATTCTGTTATATGGGGTTCAAACTTGGGATTCATTTTAATCACTTTGGAGATCCACTGATTTATCTAGTATCTCCATGAGGTACACATTTCAATTAGTCCAATACTTCTTTATGACTAACTTTCTACAAAACTAATGGCAATTCCCATCAGCCTCAGCTCTACTTTGTTTAGTGCTAAAGTTAGCAAACTAGCATGCTATACTAACATGGTAAACATTAAACCTGATATCAGCGTCTAAGCAGCATCGTCATTTGTGAGCATGTTAGCATGGTAAAGCTAGCATTTAGACTGCACTTTTCAACGTGGTATAACATTACATGTGCCTGATGAAGAAAAATGCCCACATTTTGAAATAAATGTATAAAATATCCATATCTGTTGATTTTGTCTGCAAAAAAACGATGCAGTTTATATTGTTGCACTGGGAGATGGTTACTTTCAGTCACACTTGTTGTCAGCCAGTGTTTTTAAAAGCAGGAACCTTTAAACACACAAAGCGTCTTTTAACTAAGATAACATTTCGGAGTGAGACCAGCTCTGTCTCGGAGCGGTCCATGACCTCCCACACATCTCTCCTTTCCCCCAAGAAAACAATAAGTCCACCATTTGTTGTTATGGAGCATACATGTGAAAAGCTCAAATTGGGTTTACCAGAACAAAGTATCATTTTAGTCTCATCATGTAAACTGTAATTTTATTATTATTTCCTTATTTTGCTTTTATAGTTTGTAGGAGAATCGATTTACAACAGTGCATTGTTTAACTGATAATTGGTATTTATTCATTGATTGAGTGATATCTTTCTCTCCTGCCACTTCATTGTTTTCAGTCTGAACCAAAGCTGCTTTGTCACGTGGAGAGGCCGGGTTTGAGTTTGCACATCATTTGAATGCATTACGCAGATAGTTTCTGTCTGTCCTGGGGTTTTTCATCTGAAGTGTATTTGCAACATTAGCATCCATGGTCAGTGTGCAGCTTCAAAATGAGACATGCATGAAATCACAGGTTTGGGACTTTTTTTTAAATTAAAGACTCAATTGTAATTTCCTGGTGGACAAGAGATGTGATTTGCATTATTGATTACAATATCTGAAAAACGTTCACCTTAGTTATCATTTATTAATGAAAAGCCTTATTTAATTGAGTTAGCATAGGTCACATGCCTTTCTTGTGCAGGATCTCTGATGCACACTAAGCAACTCACTGCAGCAATATTAGGTTTTATATATATTATTTTTTTGTGATCTCAGCATCGAATTCTTGTCATTTCATAAAGGTAGCATTTATATACCGAGATGTTTTTGTTTTCACTTCAAGTCATTCAACTTCAAAACGTTAAACCAATATTTCTATATTTAGATGTATTTAAACGACTTTGTAATATCTATGTCTTGCTCTTGAAACCGAAAGGGCAGAGAAATAAAACCTGTCTCTTTGGTTTTACAGCCGCACATATCTCATATAGTTAAATGTAAATGCTCTTTTTAACTCCCTGAAAGCAGCCGTTTGAAACACTTGATAAACCTCCTCTATGCTACCTTCCCAACCCAAAACACTGAGTTTACTGAGTGTCTACAGACCAGTCAGGTATTTAACGACTAAAATACCCTCTTTATGGCATGATTCTGTGAAGACCCAAAGGCAAGTGGATATTATTTGCAACATCTTCATAGTTGCTAGCAGTAACTTGAAGAAGCAAATGTCTGGAAATACTTCTTTATGTGGAGCTATCAAGAAAGTTTCACAAGCAATCATGACCCCAACTCTAAATCACATAATACTTACGGAACTTTTTTCAAACAGATTTGTTCTTGAATATTTTGGATCCTTTAACTTAGAAGAGCTGATAGTTGTATCACGTTCAAAACTATTTTTCTAAATATCAAAATGGGAAATGTTATCCCGTTATCCATCAGAAATTATCTTTGGAAAAACCATTGGTCCTTAAAAGTGACATATCTCAATATGAAAGCCTTCTTTTTGTTAAAAAGAAGGACACTTCAGATGCATCAGATTGGTGCAATAAATCAGGTGAACTGTAACATATCTTACCCCTGCATGATTAGATAAACGTATGGAGATCAGACAAAACGCTGTCGAGGAGAGAGTAAAGACTAACACAATCTGAACTTATCAACAGCGTATAAATGTGACTACATGTTAAACAGCTGTGTGACATCGACAGATAACATCCAAACTACTCAACAAGGAAACAACACTTTTCGTAGTTAAAGAATGTAATGTGCACATGCAACCTGCAGACAGGAATAACGGTCATACTGTTTTTATTTTTTCAAAAACTTTGTGTCATTGTATTTTGCTGGAGCAAATGTTTTTAATGTCTTTTGGATTTCTTTTTTTTCCTCTTCATGTTGCCAAAAGCAGTTAGCAATAAATGTTATGATGCTGATGCACCGCAAAATGGGCAAGATGTAAAAATGCATAAGCTACAACATGTAGGACACATGTTTTATGAATTTATCCTCAAATTTGTTTTCAGTGTCCTGCCGACTGTCTGTTTCTGAGCTAACTGGGAGAAAAATGTTTTATTTGGATGTTGGCTCTCACCTGTAAAGATAATAACTGGGATGTAAATGTTAATGAGTGGAGAAATGGGAGTTTACTTTGTAAAACTTGTATGATTATTATTTCTGTGCATCTCGAGGCAGACTTTTTACTTAACCGCTGTTAATAGGTTTTTATTGATGGTGTAAAGGTACAAAAACATTGAACAGAGGTGCAGCTGTGCACCTTCTTGTCTGCTTCTGTTTAGTAAATGCTATTTTTAAATGTTTGGGGGGGAATAAATGCATTGCGGAATATTGAACATTTTGGTTGTCTTCATTAATCTAGAAGTTTATGGAGCTTTTTAGAAAGAAGTGTAAATGTGACAGCTGCAGGGTTATTTCCAGCCACACTTGAAAGATAGTTTTACGTATTGCACTAGCATCAGAGTATGTGTGTAAATTACCGAGAGCATAATGTGTGTGTTAAATGTGTTACCTGTATGTTCTTGCTACATACCACAGACAGAGGCAAAACCAGAGGTAAGATGGATGATAGACTTGGTACTGTATATTCATCACATTAGAGACCAGACTTGATTCCTGTTTTGGGAGTTTTTCTTCCCCCTAGTGGCCAAAAATCAGTAAATGCAAGCATCGATTTCCCCTTCTTGAGATGAGAGCAGTGACGCATGTCAAAATGAATGTGATCTCTTCTTCAATCTCCGCAAAGGATGTCATACTTGATCCTGACTGATGTGTCATTCATCCTGAGTAAATCATACATCACCTTTAATCAAGAGATACTGTCAGTGCATGACTTTTTTTCAGCAACACCCTGCAAAGAAATCCTGCAGATAGAGTTCAGCCACCGTCCCGCTCTTCATGTTAAAGTTACCTCTGTGAACCTCGACCGGACTCTTCCTGGTCTATGACATGCAAAGGTAAGCTCACTAGCAATTTGGTCTAAGTCTAATGATGGGTGACCAAAAACTAGGCCAACTGAAGCTGTGTGACCAAGTGTTTACATGCTGTGTTTTTGTTTTTCAACAGAAGCAGGATCTGACCGGAAAAACTGATGCTGGAAAAGGTAGGGTTGAATCTTTTCATGTGTAATAGTTGGCATCGTCAGGACCACTGTGGTTGAGTTTAAATACAATTTAAAGGTTGAATATAATACTGAATCCCTGACTTTGTTCAGCTACTCGGAGCAAAAGAGTCTGCTCCAAGGGAAGAGTGTAGTGTCCCTAAATGAGGCTCTACCTTTGCGTAATCTGCAATCTCTCAATATTAAAAAGTATAAGCTTCCTACCTGCACAAATGTTTACACTTATTCAAGCTCATTTTAGGCAAACCTTGTGAGCATAGATGTTGCATTTAGGCTTGCTGTTTAGTAATGTGGAATCATGTGTGTTTTGAAATGAATGGATTTTGTACACGGACCCTATACATTTAATAAACTAAACCAAGGTCAAAGGTGGTCAGCACTAAATTAGACAACAGAAATATGAGTTTCAATCAAAACTGAAACAGTCAAATAGAGACAAAAGACAACAAGGCTCAAGATAGGAACTTTAATACAAACATGAATCAACAGCATGTAATCAATGCTTTATCGTTTGTGTAATCCGTACTCCTCCAGGGACGTGGCTGTAACTGGGGTTTTGTAGGAGGTAAAATCCTACAAGACACATCTCAGAGAAATACTTGTGCTGCGTCTCAATTAGAGTCTTTTAATATCTCCATGTTATTTCTGTTATAAGAGTGTCATTTGAACACTGGCTCCAGATGAAACAAGTGTTGTACCATCTCTGTAGCATCCAACTGGATAATTCACATGAACTGACTGATCTGTGGGGGGGAGGAGCTGATGCTGACGTGACGAGGGATGACAGAGGACAAGGAACTTCACATTGACCCGATGGAAGGATTTCTGAGCACTGATTCTGTTTTTATAAGAAAAATAATTCAACATGTTTTGGAGCTTCTTGAATGTGAATATTTTCTGGTTTTAATACTACTCGGTAAAATGAATATCATTGACTTGTGGACAGATCATTTGAGGATGTCATCTTGGGCTTAAGGCAAGACTGATGAACATTTTTCATCATTTTCTGACATTTTGTAGACCAAATAACTAGAGATAGATTTGAGCTGCATCCCTAGTTTGGTAATAACATCCAACATAGTGTTTCTTCATAAGTCCTGTGTCACAGCAGTAGATGCCTACATAGATGTAGAGCAGAAGTCATATTTTATTTAATAAATAATCCTACAGGAGCTCCGATGGTCCTGTCCGGCCTCGGGCCGGCAGAGACGTCTCAGTGTGTCCATCCCAAAGACAACAGCTCTGAGACAAAGCCCTGCGTCAAGGTGCTTGCGGCCTGAGCAAGCAGCAAACATTCACAGAAGTCAAACACATTTTCAGTCTGTGTTAAGTCTGACGGGGACTCTCTGTGTCGTACGAAGTGAATTTGACAGTGGCGGGCAGCTGAGTCATGATGTTTGCGTTGCACATCAGCTGCGTGATCACATGGCTGTCCCTCACGATTACAGGATAAAACAGACTCCTTTGTGATGTAGGGGATGAAGTTCTGCGAGTGCTGCTGCCTTGTCTGGATAACTTGAGTAACTTCCTAAACAGAGACCTCCTGAGGAGGATGTAGATCCAGGGGTCGAGGATGGGGTTTACAGCTGCTATCCTGATGGCTGCCAGGTCAGCGATAGGGTCATTTTTCAGAATGAAGCAGTTGGCAAACACACGGACCTGAAAGAGAAAAACAGGTTATGGCTCATATCTTCACATTTTTTATTTAAACATGCTGTAATGGCAGCAAATATTAACAGGAAGGAAAGGAAAGTTTCCTTTCAGTACTTTTCATGTTTCCCAATAAAAATTAAGGTTATCATTCCATAGTTTCTCATGAAAAGTGATTACTCTAAAATATGAATAACGCATGATACAACATCACATGGTTTCCAACTTGTTTTAGTGCTCTTAAAACTGTGACCCCTTGTTTGAGGTTCATAATGTCTATGAATTCAGTTTAAAATGTTTTGATTTCCCCTAAACTGTTTCATTAAAATAGTATTTAGAAAGTTGTAAAACATGTATTCTTACATAATATGATGAATCAGATTAAAATAGAATTAACTCCACCTCCTCATGTAAAATTCCTGTAGTTATACTTTATTAGTTATAGTCAAAATAACTGTATACTATATAGCTATTAATGTATCCATCAATTTAATGTTGCTGTAAAGCTGAAGCTCATGTTAACACTTATGCTGCAGTATAGTTTATTAATTTACCCCCGGGGATCAATAAAGTCTCATCTTAATTATTCATATTAAACCAGAATATATTAGTCATTTATTAGATTTTGAATCATTATTCAAGATCTACAAAGTAATGTATGATTAAATTGAGCAAATATATGTAATGTGCTTGAACAATATGCCTCTGAATTGTAGAGCCACATAAAGTATAGCAAAACATACAAATATATGTATGATATAAAGTATAACAACGTTGACCAACATTTCAGATTGCTTGAGTAAAAGTATACTTGGTTACTTTTCAGCTCTGTTCTCTGGAAGAAAATCCTTCTAATTAAGGTTTGCTGATCCGTAGGCAAAGGTGAGTAACATTAGAAACCACAAACTGCCTTTATAAACCCAAGTCAGGGGAACTCACCACCAGCGGGGCTGAACAGGCCAGCACCACGGCGGAGGTCATCACCAGCACTGCCATCATCTGAGTCTCTGCAGCCGAGGACAGAGCCCTCCACCTGTCCCGGACGCTGGCTCTGGTAACGGGCCGCTGCACGGTCCTCTGGCGCATCAGCAGCAGCGCTCCGCACACCGCCAGGTTCAGCAGAATGGTGCCCAGGATGAGCAGCAGGCTGACGGAGCCGTACAGCACAGAGTATTCAGCGGCCAGCTCCTCTGTCCCCCAGTGGATGAAGCACCAGGTTCGGGACGGTTGCAGCTCGCTCTTCGACATGCCCATCATCGGGAGGCAGCAGAAGAAGATGTTACTGATATAAATGAAGAACAGGAACTTTTGCGCAAAGCGCCGGTCCACCCCCCACCGCTGGTAGGTGTACGGGCAGCATATGGCCATGTACCGCTCCGCTGCCATGGCGCATATGATGCTCAGCCCTGTCAAACCGAAAAACAGCAACAAAAAGGAGTGAAACTCGCACACATGCTGCACCGTGAGCACAGTCTGGTCCATGTAGTAGTTGGCTATGGTGAGCGGACTGGCCAGGCACGTGCCCAGCAGGTCGGTCACCGCCAGGCCGCACACCAGCGTGTAGAAAGCTGAAGATTTCCTCTCCTGTCGAGATACTGACAGGACGATTATTGCAATAATATTCCCAATGGCGCCTCCAGCAAACATAAACATCGGTAAAGCGATTGCTGTTTCAAACGTGGTCTCTTGGGAATGCTGCACCAGCGTCTCGTTCATGGAAACAGATCCGTGCGTAATGTTCAGGCTCTCCATCGCCAAAAACAACCTGGTGTTACTTAGCGATATTTGCCTCGGTCTGTAGAGGATTTGAGAATGCATTTCCTTTTGAACCCCCTGTAACAGAAGATAAGGGGTGAGTAGGGGTACTTTTTCTGGTAGTCTCATCCCCTCAGTTTTCCAGTAATCCAGATGCAATTAGCCAGGGGTCGTTGCGCACAGCTGGGAGCTGAGAGGTGGACTGTTTCTTATACTGCAACACTCGGCAGACTCCGCTCTGTCTCATCTGCAGAGGTTGGCGTCATCACAGCCCTGCGTAAGAGTTGTGGCTGCCTATCAGGAGGTCAACTTCACTGAACCGATGATGAAGAGACAGAAGAGGCTTCAGGAGACCTTTCTCACCCATTTAGACATGAGTCATATTTGGATGTAGAAACTATATAATGCAATATTTGTAATCAACTTGTATGAGAAGTCTTTGATGGTAACTGATGAGATAATAAGACTTTTTTAAAGCAGTTTAGTTAACTTTGGGTTTTCACTGTTATGTTGATTATTTATAACTCAAAGGGCCAGTACAGTCAAATTACAGTAAAACACACATATATATATATATATATATGTATCCACAGAGAAAGTTTGTGTTTTATATATTCCTTGAAGCGATAACTTGGAGGTGTGAGGCAGATAGACCCCTGTTACCAAAAAAAATGGATGCTCATATTTCCTGTGAAGTATTTACTAAACAGTGTTTGTGAGATGTGGGACATTGGAAAAATATTAACAAGTTTGGCACTCACTCCCCAAATACTGTAATAAAACTGCAGCTGCAGCTATACAACTTCCAAACATACAGATCCACTTTCTTCAACAGCTAAGCGATCTGAAATCTCAAAAATCTCAAAGAATATTTAAAACAGGTGGAAAAGCGATCTGCCCAAATGTTTGGTATCAGGGATGACGCTACAAAAATACCTAATTAAACACATGAATATATATGGTTGGAAGAAGGTGTTCCAGCTTTGTCCCAAACAGAGATGACTGTAAATGGTTGTGAGGAAAACACAAGGCTGATGGACACCTCGAGCACACACGGGACGTCAGTGCACTTAGCCTGCTCTGACTCTGCCGCCATGGCACATTCATTACAACGTGACTTGTGTTTACAGTGAGGAGCAGCAGCGAGGGTCTCTGTCTGCAGCTGGCCTTAAAAGACAAAGCACAACACCTCTCTGAGAAGTAAACCACCGCTGCTCCTCTCTGCTGCAGACAAAGGGGAGCTGGCAGATTCTAAAAACAACAAAGCACTTAAGTGATGCCAAAGCTGGAAACTCCAACACCGGCTGGAATGTCCTTCAGTGAATCACGGGACGCACCAGCACGGTTTATAGTTATCCTTGATGTCGTAAAAGGTCATTCATTTATTGCTAATGCCATTTAAATGTATTATCTCTGTCTGTGGTCTCTGCAGTGGGCATAGAGCTATAAAAAGTGTACGGAGTTTTTAGTGTGACTAAGCTGCACAAAAGAACATGTTGCACTACATCCTTAAAAGGTAACTATACCGGATTCATATGTGTCTGTAAACTCATCTTTAAACATGATTCAGCCCTTGAAATTGCATAAAAAAGGCTTTCCCCCACTATTCAATAGTAGTATTCACATACTCAAGACAGAAAATGCATAAGCATTGATAACATTTGTATTTGATCACACTTTGGCTGGGTTAAAAAAAGGCATAGTTGTATACTAATCACACCAAGTATGACGTTAAATCGAGTGTTTAGTGTACTTTAACTGCAAAGTATGTAGGATGTATGAAAGAAATCCCCGGATGTACGGTAGCAAGAATATTTGAGTATGAAGCATGAGGTCACACAAGCCTAACACAATCAATGCAGCTGCTGTTCAATGGCGGATTCTGAAAAACCCAGTTAAAATAATTAAGAGTTATAGTGAATTGTGAAACCCATTTTAAATCATTGTTTTATTTTGGCTTTACATAATTCTAGAAAACATTCAATTAAGTAGAAGAGACTAGGTTGATTTACACTTCAAAATTGACGTGATAAACAACCCTTATTCAATAATAAATTGGACCAGTAACCCTGTGATTGATGTGATGTATTGCATTGTCTGAGTTTACTGTGTGAACCGTCTGCTGGTAGTGGTATACTTAATTGTTAATATAGTGTAGTATTCTGTCTGTAGTTGTTAGTATTTCATTTTTGAATAGTAGGTCTTTACAGAAATCTCAAACCTTCACTTGCAGGCTGTTGCAGCAAGTTAGTATTGAGGTAATGGTGCAATATGATACGTCTGTTATTCCACAAGCTACTGTCAAAGGCATTATGTGTAAAAGGATTTCAGGAATTAGAGAAAGGAAGAAAACTGGACTCTGCTCATTCCTGGAAGTGAGTCAATACGATCTCTTGGGTTTACATTTGTTTGTTTAGGGAATCCAAGGTTAAGTTGGTGGGTCAGTCTGGAGTTACATAACAAGAAGAAATAACTTCACCATAGTTGGATCAGCAGCATATCGAGGAGATCTTACAGTCAAGACATTACTGACACTAAAAGAGGTAAATTAAACATCCCAAGAAATGGGATGAAGTTTGTGGTTTAAATTGGGTGAAAAACACAAAGACTGGTTGCCAACAGAGATGGCTGGGAATGGTTGTAGCCCAGAGCGGACAAATCTGCTTAAGCATCCTGTATGATGCTGAATCGACCCTTAAAACTCTGGCTTTTAACCATATGACTGCAGCAGGTGGTGGATTCATCTGTATCCAACTTGAAAGTGTTGACGGTAGAGAGTACAGTTTCAATTTGAAGTTTGCTATAGTTCAGTAATACGGATCCTGGCTCTTAGATATTATTTTATATATATATATTACTAAAATATCTGCCAATTAAATTGTGCCAACTAATTTAATCTTTGCCTGGATTTTGTTCCCAGGCAACATGTTTTTGATTGAATGAGGTACTATGTTAGCTACAGGAGGGGGTCGGGGTGGATGGTGGGCGTTGAAAGGATTTGCATCAAAAGTCATGTCTGTTGTTAAGGCAACAAAAGCACCGGATGCCCTTGTACAGTATGTACTGCAGTTTCCCTCACAGAGTATATACTTTTGCATGACGTATGCATACACTTGGGTCATACTCTTCATCATAACATTGATGCTTGAACTTTGACTCAGAGTAGACAGGACAGCATGCTGGCTTGCATCCTGCAAAATGTGACCGGATGCAGTGCTTTTGTCATACTTGCAAAATCTTTCCCATGCATTAGAAAGGGTATGGTAGTATGTTGGGAACAAACTGACTGTCTCTTGCTCCAATAATGAATCCTGTATGTCACATCCCTGCATTTACAGGAAGAAAAATTACGCAGTTTATGGTAAAGATATCTGAGCACTGTAATCCCTGGCTGGTAATCCATCCAGCTCAATGGACTGACTTTAATAATATTTGGCCTGAAGAAAAAAACAATGGGGCTCTCGACGATCAGCTGGAGTTCAGTTTCACATGTCTCAACATGGCTGCTGTCAAACATTTGAGTAGTATTTTATATACAGTATTTAGGATTAAATCTGTAGTTTTACACATGCTGGATTATAGCATGCTGATGTTTAACAGGTGTCATTTTTTACAATGGATGTCACCATTTTAATAAAGCTTTTTTCCATGCCAAAATGTCCAAATGAGCAATTAGAGTTTATTCAGCCTAGACCAAAGTGTTGGACAAACTGGCGGAAAAACACCGCCCTCTGTAGAGTCAAACAGCTGAAGAAAACAAGTATGAAATATAACTAAATGTGTACATTTTGGTCATGTTAAATCATTGTGTTATGTCAACTTTAGAAGTTTTGAGTCGTTGCACTCTGACAGAGAAACATTTTAGTTGATTTCACTATACTTACCAGATTATTTTGAATTTGATGAAAGGATTATAACATGATAACATGTGAGTGGACACTGTGTCCTCTTTGCTATGTTTAAGTTTGCTACTGTAGTGTGAATGTAAACTGTTCATAAAGTTAAATAAACACTTCTACTGTGTGTGTAAATGGTATCCAGGAGTTTGGTAACGGTACAAGGCAGATATTGGCTCTTTAATTTGATTCAGGCCAGAGAAAAACAAGCTGATGTGTTTCACTGTCTTGAACCTGAATTAAAAAAAAAGGTATTGATCATTTGAATGGGGGCACACATTTTTTATTGTGTTTTTTTAATACAATATTGATGCCACTGCATATCTTATTAAAACATCTTAGTATTTAAGACTTAAAACAATTACACGTTTTACTGTATTTGTTGGTCACTACATTTGCCTTCCATAGTTACCCTCAGTGCTACATTCTCCAGGTTTGAAGTTGTGTCTCGATGCGATCAGCCAGTATTGATTCATCCTGATCTACAGCTCATTTTCTGGCAAATCCTGCTGTTTTATCTCACTTGGTGAGATAAAGAAGTGATGATGGGAGGACATGACAACAATTGTATTGGTTCTTGCAGCCGACAACAAAACAATTTGCGTGTTCCACATGTTTACTTTACCATTTATGACACAGCAAGGTAGTTTCCTGATGGTTCCCTATGGGGTTAGTTTGTTTGTACTACAGAACAATAATTCTGATAAAAACCAAATCACATGACTATGAATAAATCGACAGAAGCAGTGTGTTGTTTAGTTTGAACATTAATAAGAACATTTGTGGCTATTATCTGGAGAGGTTTTTCCCCTTCTTAAAGGCCACAACGTTTCAACAACACAAAAAGGAACATGTCATCTTTTAGATTAAGTATGACGAAATGTTGATTCTCAAAACTGGGATTCAGAAGGTTATGAGCAAACCGATTTGCTCTCCTTCATCTTGTGATGTTGGATGTCGAAAACACCTGACCGCATTATTCAGATCAACTGACTGGAACTTGTTCAAATCAACATTTGTATAGCTGATGTATTTGAGTTCATCATTCAGTCATGGATTTAAAGCCCTTTAGTCAGGATATAAAGGAATGTGTTAACTGTAAAAATGATCATCGACCCACTATCATTCCTAACTCTTCACTATACGTCACATTCTCACACTAGATAGCCCGGGGTGTCACACTAGATTACAGTGAATACCTTTTAAATGTTATGAATTCATACTGAAAAATTGGTGGTTTGGGTTAAACATAACGTTGTAAAGACAAAGATAACAACACAGGACCAATTATAGTCCTTTTCGATTGTCCCGTCCACCAAAGGGTGCCTGTATCAGAGTTTGACGCCCTGTCAAAGAGACTGGGCTGTTTGTTTTTTTAGAAAACAAAAAAGTCCCAATTCACCTGAGTCTGCACTTCCAGGATGTGGATGATTGTTGGTGCACTTGGTTGTGTTTCAACATCAGAGGTTTAGATGCTAGATTCAGCTAGTGTGTTGTTTTTTTAGGTTTTTGCTCTTTAGACTGAGAATCAGCTGGAGCTAGTCGGGCTTCCTTTGAATCATTGCGGTCACTATTTTGAGAATTTGTTCATCACAAACTTGCCATGAGTTCATCCCTTAAGGCATCATTTAGATCCCTGGCCACCATTGGGAAAACAGTTAGTTGTGATTTATTTCTTCTAAATATCTAAGGGAAATGTGTTTTAATACTTAACTGAACACATATTAAGTAAACAATCCAATCCTTAAGAAAACATAGACTTTCTTTGTTGCTTTGCTGTGAGGGAGGAAGAATCTCTGATGGATTGGGGTAGTGAGTTCTGTTTGAGCCAAATCGTTTTACTTCTTCACTATCACTGTTGGGAAATGTGGCTTTAACCGTTATCCCACAGTTGTTGTTTTTGAAACCCCGTCAGCGCTGTGCTGACAGGAAAAGTTCATGTAGATTACCTTCTTTATTTTTTATTGAAAGTGGATTAAATCTGTTATTTCATGGCCTCAGGTTACCAAAGCCTCTGCCAATTGACCAATTGACTGGGTTTGCATATTGTTTTGATTTTAGAGGATTCCCTTTAAATTAGAGGAGATTTCAGGGAAAGTCATGTTTAATCTGACGTGAACCCTTTCCTGTTTCTGGGGGATTTTCAACATTAGCTCTGCTTCCTGAGAAAAATGTTTCTACATGCAGAGAAACGTATTTGCTAACAAGTCACAACAAGTGATCGGATTCATAAATATTTATCTGAGAGTGCATCACTTGCATTTTGATCCCTCTAAAGTGGAGGGCCTGAAGATAAGAGAGAGAGACGGCAGCATAGACTTTTCTCAACAGAACAGCCTCTTTCTCTGTGAGATCCTAAACGGTCATTCTAGGCAACATTGTGTCTATATGAAAGAAAAAGGCAGTGAGGAATAATTCATATTGGTGGCTTAAAATAATATTTTTAAATGCAGATATTTGTTTTCTCTCCAAGAGTTACAGCAGATAAGAAGCTTAACTCAGCCAAAGACTGGTAGTGCAAACATTGCTGATAGACTAACAGACAATGGCGCTCTAAAGAACAGATTTGATAAATGTTCAGTTTACTCATCATGAGAAGCACAAGTCAGCCTGTGAAGCAGTGGTATAACGTCTACTGTGACCCTGGACGATATTCGTCAAGTATGAGATAATAACGAGGATGATGTCATAGTGATGTCATCAGGATTATCGTATCTCGGCTCGAATTGAGAATTGCATTTTTAACAGATAACGTGCACTACAGATTTTGACAGTTTGACAAAAGAGGGAATTTGCTATAGCTGTAAGGGGGGTCAATGAGATATTTCATTAAGTTGCATTATTGGAAGTGTAGGATCTATAGAGTTTTAAGAGATTCATCCACACTAAGGACTCAAATGTTCTCCTCTTGAAATAAAAAAAAGAAAATGTATCACCTGACTAGATCATCGGGTGAAATTTAGAATTTGTCCAATATGTTTGTTTTTTTTACCTAATACCCAAGCGGCAACCTCTGATGCTAAGAGAGGAAGTCAACACAAAAGTGCCAAAACTAATGACCACTTGAGTAGAGACAGTAACTTTATAAAGCCAAAATTCAATGATGCATGAATAATTCATTTAGCAAAGCTCTGTATTATTTCACAAAGCAACTAAAAACATCTCTAGTATACAAGAGACAATATCCAGCATCATCAAGTTAATCATTTCTGGAGCCAGACGTTTCCTTTGCCTGGTTCATGAACCCCATATCATAACCCTTTTAAATAAATATTTAATTGTTGTTGTTTATTTTAAACAGCACTTTATGAACTGCTTCTGGTTCCTCTCAACTATACTTTCTGCAAAGAATTTCAGATAGCTTGATATTTATTAGGCAGCCAGAAAACGTATTTTAAGAAATATCACCCATAGGCAGTCCGTGAGGGAAACACATGACCTCACGCTGAACCCCACAGAGGGACAGCACCATGTACACTCACTATCAGAGTCTCTTAAGTCTCTCACATGAGTTCCCATGTATTCGGGACTCCCAGAGGATGTTAATATATCACCAGTGAGTGTGCAGCCTGACCTTTGACTCTGTAAAGTTTCTGCTGTGAGCTGAGCCAAGCAGCGGGGTCAGAGCAGAGACACTCTCCCACAGGTGAGCCCATCAAACTGTTTCCCTTTTACTACAAATGTTGTTGATATCTGGAGACGAATTTTCTTTGCATTTTGACATTTTTCTTTACATCAACAAATCTTTCTTTTCTCCCTTGCAGGAAACAAAGTGTGACAGCCTCATTGCTGTCACTGCATCCTGAAGCCTCCTAGCCTTCGATTTCAAAACAGAGCTCGCCATGATGGAGACGGAGCAAACGGCTGCGAGTTGTCCTGCCCTGGGCCAAACTCCCGTCAGGAGCTGGCTCTCCTCCAGCTCCAGAGGTACAGTGCTCCGCTGCTGTTGACTGTCACGATTGGTTCTCAAAAAAAATTAAGCTCAGAGTTTTGCCTTCTGACTGCAACCTCTGACCAGAGAAAAGCAACCTTTCAGCACCTGCTAAATGCACAGTTCCTTACATTTTACCTGGACATGGTTTAGCAGGCTAATTCAAATAATTATGTTTTATTCTATTCCTGTCTGGCCTTACTTTTGTTCATATTTTTAAGAAAAAACGAAAAAGAACTTAGTTAGATTTGTAATCTACACAGACAACACTTCATAACCTTAATATATTCAAAATCAGTTAAACAAAAAAGAGTTTCAGAGCAGCTATTTTTCTCAATAACTGTCAGTGGGCATATACCTAACCCTCAATTTACCACATTTTTAACTTGTCTGTTAACAACAATCTTTCAGTTGTAGCTTCTGAGATTTTCCGATTTTCTCTGTCCCACTCCGGCCACAGAAATGTCTGGGGGTGCAGAGTCCTTTGCACACACAATGCAGTGGTCAAACTTGTATAGTTTGCTTAACAAAACAGACAATGCATCAACACATCAGATTCTTGCATACGACATACTTGATCTTGTTTTAATTTGTGCCTCCCAATTTGCATTTATTCACATGTTTTACCTCTGACTTTCACCTCCGCCTGAACATAGACATTCAAAATGTGTATCTCTTTGCATCTGTTTAAGAGATGGACTTTTATTAATCCCTCGTGGGGAAATTGTTTCTCTGCATTTGACCCATCCTGTTAGGAGCAGACCCCTTATTCTTATTATTTTCTTTTTTTGATATAAACTTGTTTCTTTTAAATAAGGACACTATAAATTTTACTATACAGTACACAGTATGTGTCCTGGTCTGTCTGAGTTTATTAATATCTGATGGGAAGCAGGAGTGTTTTCAGGTTTGTTTTCCTTGTTCCTCCTTCATGCACCTCTCTGCAGCTGTTGCAGTTGTTGAGAAAAACACTGTTGATTTCAGTGTCTGACTGGAAACACATTTCCAACATTATAAATGTTTATTTGGTGTGAATACAGCTACATTTGCTCCAAAACTAACATATGTTAAAGTATTTGCAAACAAGTGGTTTGTCCACAGAGCTGTTTCCTCTTGTGTCCAAAAGCTTCTAAAATCTAACACAATCCATTTTAAACACATCAGTGTTAACCATTCATGAGCAATTATGACTTTATGAGAATATGATCACAATGTTGCGCTTGTAAAACGTGCAATAAACATGCAGTAGTCATACTTCGATGAAGTATTGGATTTCTGAAGCCTAAAAAAGCTTCAGAACTCAGATGCTGTATTCTCATTGTACATTGGTTGGTCTCTGAGTTTTGAGTAGGATGATATAGTTAACGCATTTTTATTTAAAGTGTACAACATTTCTAAACCTGACATCACACAAAGTTTTGAATAATAGGTTAAATGTAACAGTTATGTGTTGATGCCTAAGCTCAAATGTAACTATAATCAAACTAGAAGCCTGTGTATGAATACAAATATCTCCATTCATTTTAGAGGTAATTTAGCCTTTGACAATCACCAGCTCAGGTCCCTCACTTTGTTTTGAACTCTGAAACACAAATGTATTTCTGCTGAACATTAAACTAAACATTGACTACAAAATCCAGTAAACTCTTTCACAACGTTAGTGAAGCTGTTTAAGAGGCGACCTTTGTTACAACAAGCATACTGACATTTTCATAAGCACTTAATTACTGTTTTCATTCCAGGAAATGAGATGAAACATTGACCAAGCATCAGTAAAACGCTCACTCAGCTATTTGCCTATACAGGGGCGCAGAGGAGATTTTTGAAATCGGGGGGACGAAACTGAGAGAAATTATTTTCACGATATTTACTTACCATTGATTTATTATGTGTTTTACAATCATAAGTAACATTAACCGTAAGCTCAAATATGAACTGTTTCAAGATCAAATATAATACAATATAAGTATGTATGTGGATTAACAAATGAATTGGTATTTACCTTTAAAGGTGGGGTATGTCATTTTGGAGAAACCAGCTCGAGTGCGCTAGAATTTGAAAATACACAGCCGGAAAAAATCTGCCACTTCCTTACAGAGCCCCTCCTCCAACACACACGAACGCGCACATGACCAATGAGGGCACGAGATAAGTTTGTGCACAGATGGAAGGCTGACAGGCAGGTAGGCCATCCAGTTATTTTAGCCGGGCCGGCTAAAATGATTGGTCGTGCTTTTTACAGTACTACGGCTTCCACAGATGACATTTTTTTATGGATTTTTTGTCAAAGCACTTAAGATATTCATTGCTATCGGGATGTTAAGAGCATTCCATGGAATATAACAAAAAGTGTATCTCGAGCCGGTTTCTCAAACTTACCTACCCCACCTTTAAGTGCAAGAAGGATCATTTAAAAAAGGATAATAAAAAATAAATAAAATATATATAATATATATATTACTTTAAATGGGGGGGACGGATCAGTGTCCCTATGAAATTGTGGGGGACGTCCCCCGTCCCCCCGTCCCCCCCCCACTATCTGTGCCGCTGGCATATAAACACTAACAAACTTGTATTATCCATTTACAAACACACACAAATATGTACACACGAACACTTTGTACAAACCCAGAGGTAAACATATTAAAAACACAAGTACACATCAACTTTAATCAGATTATAACACACAAACATATTTAAGACACAACTAAGAAGCACAAATATACACAGACATGCTTTTCCTTCCTCTCACACAGATTTGTCCTCGTAGTTTAACCCTTTTTTTCACCTCTTTATGCTTCCCAGGGGCACCCAGCCACCCCCCCTCCCGTTTCTCTGGAGACGGGGTCCGCTACAAAGCCAAGCTCATCGGTGTGGACCATGTGCCGGACGCCCCGGGACACAAGATGTGCTGGGACTCCATGATGAAGCTAAAGGTAAGAAAAAGCCAGAAAAAACATACCTCTGTCTCCTACTGTATATTCAAACTGCAGTCATTTAATCAAGGAGGAAAATATATCACATGACAAGTGAGATTAAAATGTGTTGTCAGTGGTTTGTTAAGTCCTTTTTAGAGGGCTTTTTTCTAGAGATAGATCTTCTTCTATTTTACAAAACTGGTACCTTCCACAAAGATCTTTTTGTTCTGTTGAGCAGTGTCAAAAAAAGATAAATATATTGAATTGTTTAAGACTAATTCAAAGGGGATGATTCATGCTCATTGAACAATTCTACCCTTGTAACAGGTATTTATATAAATGAAAGCAAATGGTTTCTTGGATGGAAAAGGGAGTTGTGGGAACATTCGGAAAAAAAGGCTTCTGATATTTGACCTCTTGCTCCACCGATATATCAGTGACTTCAGGCCCTGTCATCTCACAGGATGTTCCCCGATACAGTGGGAGTGTGTATCATAGGGTACAGCCACATCTTAGAAAAAAACATGATCCACAGGCCCATAACAAGATCAGTGTAGTAAAAAACGGTTAGAGTTAGACGATTTGGCGCCCCCCGGTGATGGTGTCTACACAATCAAATATTCATTGGAGAGTTTTGGCCAACAGTCAGTTGAAAACAATTCTACACATAGCTTTAATACAACATTTCATTAGTATAAATATGAACATGTTGCCCTTAAACTAACAGTATAGGTTCTCTCCCATTTTAAATAACTCAACATTCTTTTTTGTGTGCCAGGGCTTTGAGGCGGCAGCGAGGAAGCAGGGGAGACACAAGCAGAGAGTCTGGTTGAAAGTTTCCTCCAGCGGCCTGAGAATAGTGGATGAAAGGACCGGGGTGAGTTACACTGACTGCAACTCCCCCAAATCTCTCTTCCTTGTGTTGTCTTGAAGCTGTTGTCGCCTTGGGTTGTTTGTTAACCTTGAAAAGGTTTTCTCTCTCATGTGTGCAACCTCAACAACCACTGAGGTCTTTAGAGGACAAAAGAAAACCGGTTCATTTATAACTAGCCAAAATGTGCATTATCTACATTTCAATTATATATTCTCAGGATTCCTTTGGGAGGTTAAGCAGAATATTTGCACAACTGAAATGGATCAGTGCCATAAAACAAAAATAGGAGTCCAGTAAGTTTTGTTTAGTACACCACAGATATGTTGTTATTGAGCCCAGCCCAGTTAACATTTGCATGTTTTGCCTAAAAGGCATAATGTTTGGCCTTTAGTACCCTTTTTTATGATGAAGAAGTATCAGTTAAATTCTAATTTATGTTTATAGAATTGTGGAAGTAGTGTTTCCCTTATGAAATTGATTCTGCATTTTACGTGCAGTTAATGTTTGAATATTTGTTTTAGTTTTGGTTCAACTTCGGCCCTTTCTTTTGGTCATATGTCTGATTGTAATAACCAACATCCCAAACTGTTTTCTGCACTGAACACATCTGTATTTCCTTGTCATGTTCAAAAATCTAAATTGCAGCTAATTTATTTTCTCTCTTAGGTTCGAGACCAAAACATGTAATTGTAGGTGAAGGGTGCTAGATCCAGAAATAACCCCAAGTCTAAACATTTCCCAGCAAAAGCCAGAGACACAGAAACAGAAACGGAAACAAATCCGCTTTAATCAGGCTATATCTAAAGTTATGATATCTTTATTTTCCCTTTTTCATACATCTTTTCTTTATGGTAGTTTTTTGTTCCCCCATTCAATTTTTGTTGTGTCTAAATGTTTTGTAGTGGTTGGATATGTTGAACCTCAAACCTTTTCTATAATCTGCGTTCAGGCTGTACTTCATGACCACGACCGGAGCGGGATCAGCTCTCTGATGAGAGACGAGTCTGACCCCAGAGCTCTGGCCTACGTCTACCAACACCAAGACACATACTGCCTCTTCTACATCAAGATGGCAAACCTGGTATAACACACACCACTCGCTACATGGGAAACATATTTAATAACATATGAATATTCATAGACATTAGTGAGTTATTCAAAAAATTACTTAACAAGATGCTATTTATTTATTTGAACAAAACCACTACACAGTGAATAATCAGGCTGCTGTATAACATTCATTATAATAATGGCAGTCTTTTGGAAATGTAACTGATTTGGGCCGGCAGATATGAATATGATTGAGGGCAGGAGAGAGGACCCTCAGGTGGATGAATTGTATTGATGGAAGTGAGGTGAACAGATGTATCTGTGTGTAGATTTGCTATGACAGGAACTTTAAAAAGAGTTTAAGACAGATTCTATTTTCTCCAGCAGGGTTTGTGTACTTAACCTGAAATGTCACAGTATGATGCTTGCAGTCGCACACATAATAGTTATGTCGACTAATGCAAATAGTGCAGAAGTAGCCCATGTTGGACCTGTTGCCTTTTGGGAAAATGTTTTCATACAGTGTGATAAAGAAATGTTTCTTATTCTGATAATGAAAAGAGTAGACCAAAGTAGGCCAACGTGCACAAATGTACCTCAGTCTTGGACACTTGCTCTACTGTCGGTTCAAGTTAAAAGAACAGAGAAGTATCTATGTGCATTTTTGTATTTTCACGCTGTTTTGAACCACACTGTATAGATACATCCCTTATCCCAGGTAGTGAGAGCACAACTAAAGACAGGTTTGTTCTCTGAGGAAAAGGATATGTTTGGTGCACAGTGTGATGTTTGATTTGTGTTCTCCAGGCAGACCCGGTCCTGGTTGACATTGCGGAAGTTTCTAAGATGGTGGACCAGGACACAACTGAGGAACCAGCAGAGGCACCGACACAAGTAAGGCAAACTTTTTTAAGTGTATAATTACATCAGAGTGTTTTTTGACTTTGGTGTACATGTATTCATTTTTTGTATCAAGTGTTCAATGGTGTTTGTTTTTTCCAGACTAATTCCTTACTGCTACTAAATGACAGTTCAGCCCCAGCAGCTGAGGTAAATAAAATAAAGTTGTATTCCTTAAATCTTATGGTGAGGTATATCATTGAACATCTTTTTATGTTGTTATTTTTCTTTAAATGGTGGAAGGCAAAGATTGAAATAAAACTGTACTGAATGTGCCTTTATTTTTAGGAACCAGCTTTGGAGGAAGTGCTCAGTCCACGGAAAGATCCTTCCCCAGGAAACTTAGACCAGGTACACAATATCACACATGTGAATCTTTCAATACACTGTGCCTTACCTGCCTTATTTGAACATGTTTTTATTTAATGAACCACCTCTATCAAAACAACAAAATCATGAAACATCTTGCATTTCAGAATTTCAAAACTTTGAGGTGAAATAACAAAGATATAGTGTGACTGACCTTTCAAATTCAAGCCTCAGGTTGGGGTTAGTTAGTTAGCAGTTATTCTGCTTTTAAGATCATAACATATGTGAATTTATAAGACATTTTTTACATATGGTATTTTCGTCAATGTCTATTATTGTTGTTGCTCTCATATGGCTCGTGAGACTAACTAACCTGCAGTTCGATTAACAGTCTGCTACCTTTTATTGTTAATTAACTTAGTGTTAATACATAAGCAATTGATAAATGTTGATTTATGTTGTTTTTAGATGCAAACCTTTGTGTTTTTCTGTTGCTCTGTGTACAGGCCTCTTCCAGTAGCGAGCTGATGGCGGTTTTCTCGATCCAAATGGAGGAGCCGCTGATGCCCGACCAGAGCTCCTGCGCCAGTCAGCCAGGTTAGTCTCAAACTGAGACCAGGAACTGTTATGCTGAGTAAACCATGATGCATACCTTAATCCTCTATAGCCTAAAATATGTTAGAGCTGAAGTTAGTAGGGGGCAGCACACAGCCTGGAAGTGCTAATACTGTGGCCTCATTCATGGCAAAATGATCTATTTTCCTTCCTGCTTGGTCTGTTTCTATAAAATGGAGCCATTCATTTAATTATTGTGGCCAAAAGTTACGTATTTTCTGACCATTTTGGCCGCAAATTCCACTTCAATTTTACAATTTGAATCTTGTTTCGTATCACAATCCACTGTCTAAATACTGTAAAAAGAGAAGAGGGAAGTTATTTCATGTCACATTTGCATAACTACTACTTTAGTTCCATTACATTTTAGAGATTGATTGATTTTTGGCATATGTTTTTTTGATAGTGATTAACAGGAGTGGAGGGTTCACTTTGGGAACCAAACACAGTATGTGGTTATTACAAATGTTTTGCATCACATCAGAGGGTGTATTCATGCAAAGATTTAGCTCAGAGTTCATCAGTTTGGTATCCTATCATGCAAATAAATATAATTAAAACATCAGGCTGTCATGCCTTAAAACTGGCCCCTTACCTCCTCATGCTGACTCTTTTGTCGGCTGAATCAGAGCAACTTGATACTGTGGTTGAATGGTTGAAACATGATGTTTGAAGTGCTGAGAGCCAAAAACTATATTCACACCACTATCAAACATTGATGTTCCCTACATCATACATCATGAAAGACCAGGCAGGAAATAAGGATTCATACACTGAATCCCTAGCTGCTCTTCAACTGACCTTTGACCTTAGACCTGGAGGCACAGGTCTCATACTAAAGTTATCTCATATAATATCAGATCCCCATGAACTAAATTACAGAAAAGAAAACAATGAATAATGTTTTTTTGCATTACATTGTTGTATCTGCTGGATTATATGTATTTATGTTCGTATTTTGTTTATTTATACTTGCATTTAGGTTTTTTACCAGAACATGTTGACACCCTTTAATAATGATAAAAAGCTTCTGATTATGGGTTAAGGATGTGTGGCCCTTTTGAGGGTTTTAATACTTTCACAGTACTTATGTAGCACCTAGACCTGCTTCATAATAAACCAAATGTTGTTGATCCTGTAACTGTTATAGTGTGGCAAAGGGTTGTGTTGGGGTGGTGTGATATGCACTTTCAAAACACAGGCTTTTAGGTTTAGATACTGTCTCTCTTTATTATTACTTAACAATGGCAATTCATTTTCATTATTGTAATTACAACAAGTTGATAATCAAATCAAATACTTTGCCATTCCAGAAATCCAGGATATTGCAACTAATGCTCTCTAAAATGCTCTAAAAATGTTTGGAGTAATTCCCATCACAGGGTCCCAGAAATCAAAGTGCGTCCTTTAAATGACTTCATGTCAAACAGACAGTCCAAAACCCAAGGATAATCCATTTCAAAGAGAGAGTGTCCACCTACAGAGAAAGGTGGACACTGATGCTTGACGATCAATACCACTCTCATTTGTTTTTTAAGAAATGAAGCCAGAGTTTGATTCGCTTAGCTAAACTAAGCTTAGCTAAGCTAATCAAATTTAGCTTAGCTTAGCTCAGCATAAGGAATGTAAACAGGTGTACAAAGCTAGACTTAATTTGATTCTAAAGGTAAAATATTCTGCCTTCCAACGTCTCTAATGTCTCCCATTGATGGTTGTGATGACATTTTTTGACACAAATGTAAAAACTTACAAGGGTTTCACTGGGAGTTGTATGCTCAAACTCAGGGCCGTCCCTCCCTACAGGCCGATCATGCAGACTGCGTGGGGCCTCACCTTGCGGAGAGTGCCTCAGCTGAGCCGAAAATGCAGCGCACCTACTGTATGCGCTTATGCGGCGCAATTAGTGTGGCGCGGCACTGTTTCGCCGCTACGAGGCTCCACTAGCACCCCCCTCCCTGCCGTCGCTGCTCGCGAAACAGAGAGCCTCATCATATAACTTTGCGTGGGGCCTCATGTTGGCCAGGGACGGCCCTGCTCAAACTATTTCTTAACGCATTGGAAGTGCTCCAGTAGTTTTTTTTGTTTGACTAAAAAAGTAATCGACTAATCGTTTCCGACATGATTTGCTACACAATATTTAGTACATTTTTTGTGTTCCTCTTTTCTCTCAGAGTCTCCACATCATACTATCTCATCCTCTCAGATCCTCTCCATGTTCCCCACTCAGCCAGCAGGGGGCACTCCTTACTCCTCGCCCCCATACTCTCCCACCTCCATGCCCTGGGGCCAGCAGGGGCTTCTGGGTAATCAGTGGGCAGGTCCAGCTGCAGTGCCCTGGCCCACAATGCCCAGTAGTCCGTCAGCATGGCCCCCTGCAGGATACCCAGGGCCCCCAGCAGGATACCCAGGGCCCCCAGCAGGATACCCAGGGCCCCCAGCAGGATACCCAGGGCCCCCAGCAGGAGGCCAGTTTCTGTCGCATGGGCCTCAGCCAGGAGCTGTGATGGGAGGAAACTCACCCGCCTCACCCACAGCTGTCAGTGGGTACCCCTCCCCTCTAAACTCCCTCTACGCCCCCACTGGAGCAACAGCACCGCTGCAGTCAGTCACCCCCACCTTGTACCAAAATCTCCTCCTGTAAAGACCTGAGTTGAAAATATGTTATCAAGATGATGCTCATTTAGGTCCACTAAAATGTGTATTTCATTTTTCATTCTTTCTTTCATTTGCACGTAATCAAATATTTGTTTTGCTGCCTGATAAAACTGGAAGATCAAAACCATTTACTACAGTATGTTGTTGCGAGTTATCATTTACTGTATGTTTAAACTGAACAAAAGCAACACTTGTACTGCTATTGTTTAATACAATTGAATTTATAGTTCACAAATCACAAAGTATTATGATTATTAAAGATAGTATAGTTTCATTACCCCTGCTGATACACTAGGTTGTGTTTTATGAGTTTTACTGACACTTGAAATTACTTTTCTTTTCTTTTAACAGATATAAGTTAGTTAATGTAATGTTCATCAGAATTAAATGGAGAACATAAAAGGAAGCTCACTTGACTTCCATTTCCTTCAAACTAAAGCATCTCACTTTGTCTTCTGTTTTATTATATAATTATATCATTGTGTGGACGTTCTTATTGAAATAGAAAGTATATAATGTATAATAACATATTGCAGAAAAATAATATAAAATATTTTCTTCACATCAATTACACTCACAGTGCCCTAACATATAACTGTATTATTCATAGACATAATAACTAAACAACTGACCTTTTTAGGAAGAAGTGAAACAAAGTGGCTGACATCATGTTAATGTTTCTCTACTGTTATTCCCATGTTGTGTCACTGTCTGTTCTCCTGTTGCACTCACTGAAGCGTTTCCTCATTTGAAGTATAAGTTTAGTGGCACAGGTCTGTACAGTAGATCAGCCTCGATGTACTGAATCACGCTGGACATGGAGCACTTTATTCATCAGTGAGTCCACCACTAAAGGAAAATATGGTAAGAAATAGTTATTTGCTATGTTACTAAGTTTATTTGTTGTTAATATATTTGTGAATGGATGATTAACAACTCCTCGATGGCTCCTTTTACACTTCTGGCCATTTCCTCCTACTCGTGTGTCTATGAATAATCTGACTTCTATAGAAAGACCATCCAATTTCATTTTTTTGAAAACCTCAGTTTCACTTTTACATAAAACATATTATGGAATCACCTTTAAAACTTGCTTTACAAACCTGCAAATACAGGATCTTACCGGCTTGTTTGTAGTAATTACATCATTGTCACAGTAGAAGGGGAAGTTGGATTTTGGAAAGAAGTGTTCATGCTGCTAATGAAAGAAAGCTCTATCACAGTGGTTAATGATTAACAGTGAGCTCAGTGTAGCTTTACTTCCACTTTTCTAGCTTCCTATCTTCCTTCTAAAATACACATGTTCATAGCAGTTCAGAAGTTCATGTATGATATCATTATTTTAAATATAAAGTATCCTGCACTGCAAGTATGTGTGCAACTTTATCAATTATTTTAATTATCCATTCATCTAAGAAATGTATGTATATAAATGATTAAGGGTGATTCATGGTTTGGTCTTTAATATCTCTTTGACTTTCTCAAATGTCAATGTGATGTCTGTTGATTTTTTTCAGATCGAAACCAAAAGGATGAAAATGTACTTTTTTAATCAATATCTATTAAACTTAGTGAAAGAAGTGTCTGACCTTCGTCCAATCGGTTAGTCAACTAATATGTGTAGCTGTACCAATGAATAATTAAATAAATTAATTACATAAACTGCATGTTCTCTGTTTCAGAGACTGGCTGCTACCTAAATATAGTCACTCGTTTTATCCAGCTTATTCTGCATAGGTTAGTGCATTTCAAGATCATTTAAGGAGTTCTGACAAACTTATAATAATTTAAATCTAAACATTTTAACCAATTTGTTTTACCGTGTGTAATCTTAACGGAGAACAGAAGACTTCACTTGAAGTCAGTGATATTTACGATAACAAATGACATACCAGAACATATTTTAAGGTACAATTTCAATGTAAATTGTGAATGTACTCAATCATATTTTATTTGTTGACATGACTTTTTTCCCCAAGTTTGTCACTTTTTTGTAAATCAAATATTTTTTCTTAGTGTTATCAGGTTTTGTCTCTGCAGCACACCTGCACAGCTGTGTGGTGACCCCGTTTTAAAAACTGCAATAAAATGTCAGACGACAGACACACACTTAGATGCACGCACACACTTTTGTTGAACCCCATCTGCGCGTCGTGTGTGTTTGTGGTGTAGAGAGAGGTTTTCGTCTGTTTCCTGCGAGCACAGCTTGCAGCTTATTGGCGCAGAAGGTGAGAGCAGAGAGTGTTTCTATGGTAACCGGTGCAGGATGCTGGCTAAGTTACAGAGGTGTGCGGTGGTGATAACTTCCTGCTCTTCTTCACACCGTCTGTTTGACTGTCAAACTTTAGATGTTCAGACAAAATATGGTGTAATTCCTTTGTTTTCATCATGTTTTCAGTTTGTCAACATAACAGAGAACAAGAAAACCGAAAACTTAACTATTTACAACAAAAGTTCCTTACATTTTTCATCATTTTACCTCCTTGCTTTGAGACCATTGCTCTTTAAACCGCCTATTCAAGTTAAACACAACCAATGATAGTATTTCTGTCTGACGACGGATTTTAAGAGCTACTATAAAGATGCTCACCTGAAAGTCATGTGACTGTTTTTGTAAGAAACCTCTGCATACTTAGAAAAATGTAAAATGTTTTAAATATTATGGGAAAAATGTCATAGAATTATCCAACTGCAGTGAGTTTAATAGCTTTTTAATTGAGAGCAACAACAAAAGAGAGCATAAACATTTCTTTATAAGTCTTAAAATCCCCAGATAACCTGTTTTAAAAGATTGTATTGGCTTTATTGGCTCATCTCTGGCATTGTTTTTGTGAAAATCCTTGCTCTAACTAACAATTGAACCACTTTGTGTAACATAAATAATGTTTTAATGTAGTGATTGATTTTATTCCATGATTACTCATTGCAGCAACCTCAGTAAATGTCTGTTCCTCACTCATATCATAATCATTTTGTTGAGGAGACTTCTCAGCTCTGAGTAGATCAAAAGAACCAGGAAGCTGCAATGTTGCACGGTGCATTCTCACCTTGTAAAGCGAGCGTGGGGGGTATGCCTTGCTGCGCTGCTGACTTCCTGCTTCAAACACATATCAGCTGCAGTTGAGTTTGTGCCTGTGTATTTTTTTCAGGAGGACAGCGTGGATGTGAAGGCTCTGAGGGCCAGGTTCAACACCAAGCCCATCGCCTCACCAGACACCAGCAGCAGAGACAGCGGCTCCCCAAAATCCCCTCAACCCGGCTTTGGTAGACTTCCACTGACAGAGAGCAACCTGGCGCACCACAGACTGTCTCCCACGGTTCCTCCACCTCCACTGGCTAGCTCAGGCCAGGTGAGGTTCCCGAGGCCGGCAGAACCCATGGCGGCATCCAGACCTCCCCTCCCTCGACCGTCTCCCAGTCCTGGAGTCAGAGCCCCCCTCCAGCCGGCAGACCACGGCAGGGTCAAGCTGAAGGGGGAGATGCTGCAGAACATGATGCTGAGGCACCAGAGGCCTCCAATCCCCAAACCAGCCCCAGCTCACACCACCCCTCCACCTCTCCGACAGCAGCCCCGAAAGAGGAGCGCAGGGGAGGTGACCCCGCTCAGGAGGCCCCTGCCCCCTGAAGGACCCCTGCCCCTGAAACCCAAACGGCCTCCCAATGTCAACCTGGAGCCATTTCTGAGGCTCAACCGAGGACCCGCCCTTCCTGGTCCCAAAAAGAGTGACGGTAAGTCTCAGGCTTATTTCTCACCGTTTTTAAATCATGCACAACTCAATTGATAAATGAAATTACGAAAATACATTGCTGAATGTGTGTAAATATGTGTGCTGTGATTTTCCCAGCAGGTTCCCCAGGATCAGGGGGAAGAAAGATGTCTTTACCCGCCGTCCTCAGTCCTCCGAAACCGCCACAACGATGCAACAAACCCAGGCTGCCGCACCAAATGGCCTCCATGTGAGTCTTTAGATCACGTAATGCTGGTGTTATACCAATACATGCAGGAATCTACATACAATTAATTATTCCACATCTTCAGATAGACAATAAGTCATACATAAATCACTGAGAATGCCACAGTAAAATCAGATTCTCATCTTCATCACAGTTGACAGGATGTTAAGATTGCAGGGGGAAAAAAATGTGTTGCTTATTGATTGCAGGGAGATTGAAGATAACCAGGACTACTATGATGACATTGGAAGCTTTGAGAAGAACGGTAACAATGGCATCTTGTTTGTTTGTGCATCACTGCAACTATTTCTGTTTTTACGCCTTTGTTCCTCTAACACATTTTAAGTTATTCAGAAAAGTGTAACAACTTATATTTTCCTCGTGATATTTCTTCACAGAGTCCTGGAGCGACAACAGTTCACAGTGTGTGGACGAGGTAAGGACATTTTAACTTACCGTGAAGTGAATATGCCTCCCATTTTTAAGGATTTGAAAAGGGTGTTATTTTCTGTGAGACAACGCTCTTTCCTCAAACCAGATCAGAAAGTTAGAATAACGTTTTATAAATGTTAGTTTAATGATTGACAGGCTGAAATATTCCTTTATATTAATATTGTAAATGACAATTAAGCTGTCACGGATGGCATTCCCTTTTAATCTAATAAACCTGATATATTTTGTTGTTCCTGTAAACGTGCAAATGAATCTTTTCGTTTACAGGAAAATGATGACGTGTATGAATTCATAGATGAGTAAGTAATGTATACACGTTCTTTCTTTATCCTACAGTGTCTGTATTTGTTAAGCGCTCTGCTGGTTAAAAGTACAAAGTGGCCGCAGTGAACACGAAGCAGGACAGAAAACAGAAAGTGCTTATTTTAGTTCTGTTACTGCTATTGTTATTTTTGCACCTACTGAAGCAGCAACAACCACTCTTTCAACTATGATAACCTAAAAGGCTTTGCAATTTGAGTTTTTTCCTTTTACATAACTTCTCTTTAGGAAACAGCACTCTAATGTGTAATATCTGTTTGGCTTAACAGGATGTCTTTGGCAAGTAACATAATGTGCAACAGATTGTTGAAAGTGTTTCTGTAATTCAACATATTTCCTGTTAGGTATTGTTGTCACCTAGTGTGTAATACTGTTATTAAGACATTTGATTTCCCATTTTAACAACAATTTTACAACTGTTTCCCAGGTGTAAAAAATCAACATCAGTCTAACATTAGCATATAGCAAGCACAGATTCAAAGAGCAACTGTCATGGCCATAGATTCTTGTAGTTGCTTCATTTATATGTAGTAAAATGTGTAATGAAGTAATGAACTGTTTTGAAAATGATTGAATTGTTCCTTTAAAGGGATCAGGTGGAGAAAAACCGGTTGAATAGTGAGAAGCAAAACAAAATAGATGAAAAGAAGCAACAAGCACAGGAGAAGAGAGATCAGATGGAGCGTCAGAAGAGAGAACATGACTTGAGGAAGAACTTTCAGGTACGGACAAAATACGCCCTCCATGAAAAACCCTATGTCCAGTTTCTGTCACAGAAGATCAGAAAGCATCACTAAGTTAACGTGGGTGGTAGTTTAGAAAATCACCACCTGCAAAACAGGAATGCCTTTTATATATCAGGATATATTTAAGGCTAAGAAACTATTCAGGTTCTTCTAATAGTTAGGTAACCTATTTCCAACTTCATGAATGTTATTTACAAAATCTATGTTTTTGCTTAAATTTGTAACATAGCTTAAATCCTTAAGCATTGAGTTTCTTCAAATCCAGTCACACTTGTTTTCTGTCTTTCTATAGTTACAAGGGGAAGTGGAGGTCATTCATACAGCCAGAGTCAGACATGACTGGCATGGAGTAGGAAAACTGGACCTTAGCGTACGACAAGGAGAGAGCGTGGAGATCCTCCGGGTGAAGAACAACCCGGGAGGCAAATGGTTGGCTAAGTCTGTCAATGGAAAATGTGAGTTTCAATTAGAATATCTATCAAACATTTTTAGAAATGTCAAGTCTTTATAAGGACTATTTTAAGGTTAGTTTATCAATTTGAAGACATTTTGTCAGGGCCTTGCTTGACTGTAACTCGACTTTATTATGTTTGCGAAGATATTATGTATCATGTTTTGCAGATGATACTCAACTCTATCTGTACAACCAAAACATCCTTGTGGCCTTATTGCTTTAAACCTGTCAGTCTCAGTCTTGATGTTTACATTCTCAGTGTCTGTTTTTCTTGTTGTAACTTATATAGAATATGCTAGCAACTAGGGAAGCAAAGATGATGTCTTAATATAAGAAAATAACGGACTGGTGGAGGTCAACGCAGAAGGTTATAAAGCAAAGCAGGTAGCATTTTCCCCAGTGAGAAAGTGAGACCGTTGTCGGTTGTTTTTCCAGCAAGTCAGTAACAGTGAGGTTAATCTCAATTTGTTCAAGAGGATATAACCCTTCTTGCTTTGTACTATTTGTAACTAATTTGCCCATTGTGATACATGTTTTTATAGATCCAAATCCAATCTTTTCCAAACAGAAATATAAGACTTTGTGGTTGTGGTTTCATAGATGCCCAGTGATAACATTGATTATCATTCTTTGCATTAGATGGACCTGTGTTGCTTCACACACTGATTTGTCATAATTCATATCTTTGTGTTGTGTCACCTTGCAGACGGTTACATCAGTAACGCATGTGTGGATGTTGACTATGAAGCAGTGAAGCGCAAACTGCTCCAGTCCAGAAAGATAGAAACATCGCCTTTGCCTCCACCACCTCCTGAACCCCCGCTGATGTTAAATGTGGATTCCACTAGCAAAGACAGGTACAGCTGATCATGTGTGTGTTTTACTGGGAGAAATGTTTTTTTCAATGATTGTTTCACAAGCATTTTATCCTTAAATTCTGTTATCAACCTTATTATATGGTGCTTTCTAATTTTCAACGATGTCTTTCAAACTAACATGAAATGTTTCCTCTAATCTCCAGCATGCTTCCGGACGATGGTAAGTGACACTTTAACATTACTGAATGATTAGGATTAAACAATAAATAGTAAGGGATTCACATTAGAGAGGGTAAAACACTTACTGCTGGGGAACAATCTTAAAAAGTCTGTTCTTATTCAAGTATTGTGTAAAATAACTGATAACTGAAATATACATAATTTGATACAAAAACACTCACATTATTTTTGTTAAAATGTGGTTGCCTGATTGTTTCAAAAGATTATGGTTCTGTCAAGATTATTCTAGTTTTGGTTTACTGTACTTTTCGTTTTGACCTCAGACGACTATGATGACGTTCAACCAATGTGTGAGGATTTCCCGCCACCACCGCCTGAAATCAGGTACCTATTTACATCTTGACACTGAAAGGGAACAGGAAATAAGAGCTTGAGAAATGACAACTTGATTATCTGTTAAATCATTATAATCTTTATTTCCAGCTTTGATCCTAAAGTTGGAAAGGAGCTAAGAAAGAAATTTAAGGTAAATATTTGTTACACTTTCATATCAGATTATTTGTCTTTTTATCTGTAAATAAGAGTGGCATATGAGCATAGCAGGGAAAGAAACATTTTATATTGTTCATTATCTCTTCCTGAATCATTTATACAACAGAAACATGCACACACCTCAATGACAAGAAGCGGTATTTCCAGATGAGGCATATAACACCAACATCTCAGAGTGCCCTTAAGACAATTACTGAAAATGCTCAAAATGAATCACTCCTACCTGTTGTTTCCCAGTATGAAGGGCCTCTTAGAGTACTCCACACCATGATGGTGGATCCTAATTGTATCATTAAGAAGCCAGGAGGGAAGGATCTGCACCTGACTAATGGAGAAGTTGTGGACATTATCCAGCTCACCAACAGCAAGAAAGCTCTGTGTTGTAACCGGTTTGGAAAATGTATGCAAACACTTCACATACCTTTGATTTTGATATGATTAGTAAACCTAAAGCCATGCTTTTGGCTCTGTGAGGCTGTCATAGCAGCTCGGCCTAAACCAAATGTTTGTTTTCTTATGTTTTCTTTATAATTACATGACAAGAATGTAATGACTATGCTAATCTTCCTAGTGTGCATGATAGTGTTTGACATAATGTCTGTTTTGTATTAACTCTCACAGATGGTTATGTGTCCAGAGCTCTTCTTCTTCCAATGTAAGTGAATCTTCATCAGTTTTAATTGTGATCCTGCCAACATTTGCTCTACTTCAGTTTAGTCCTCATACTTTAAATAAATACCTTTTTACTTAGCTTAAAATGTATAAACCTTCATGTAAACAAATAATTGTTGCTTTAATGACAGCTACACTTTGACTTGGGTTGTTTAATAGAGCTTTTTGTTGTTGTTTTGGAGATTGAAGATACAGTTGTACATATTTTATTTTTAGTAATCTAAAGATTTCATATTCAATGCCTTCTTAAATATAATGTGTTGTAATCGACGTTTCCAGTAACAAATGTATAAACTCAACATCATAACATAGCAACAAGTTTTAGATCTAGAAAAATATCAATAGAAAAAACTGTTCTTGTTTTAACATCGCTCTCCCTTTGCAGGGAAGGAGACATTTACGACGATGTTGACTATTTGTGTGGTGAGTTATCTTTGGATATGTCCTGTAATAAATGCAAACTGTACCGCTGTCATTTATTTCTCAAGCTCATGGGTGTTGTTTTATACTTATTTATAATGATTGTTGTGTTTTTATTTTATATTTCAGACGTCTACGACAACGACTCTCCACACTGATTATAGAAACCTGAAAACAAAACAAACACTCACACAGTAAGAGAGAGAGAGATTGGAGGGGAAAGAGAGAGACTAAAGATAATGTAAGATATATAAAACGATATAACTAACAACATATACATTTTTGACTTCACCAGTTGCATTCAATTAAGTAGGATTCAATCGAGAGGATTTATATACCAAAACATCTTATAAAACTATATAAAACTAAAGGAACGGAAAATTAGAACACACACACACACACACGCATGCACGCACGCACGCACACACACACACACACACACATCAATGCATTGTTTGCCAAACTGCTTGTATAGAAAGTGAATACACTATTAATGTAGCTTTGTGTATTGCTCAACTCTGGGATAATTTAAAAATAAATGAAATGTGTTTTTTACTGTTAATTAACTGTTTTTTCATTTGAATATAAGTTCTTCTTTTGAATAAAAAAGAAAATGCCTAGACCCTGGAAGTGTTTTTTTTTTGTCAAGTGGCAGAGAAAGACTCTACCGATACGTTGACAACCATCCAACATAATTGACAACCAATTCATTGATGGTCATTACAAATCATGAAGAAATGTGATTTGATAAACCACATTTAGATAATGCCTAAGTAGGTATTAGGTAAAGTAAGAGAAAATAAAAGTTTTGTATTTAAAGTACACACTCTTTGTCAGATTATCCCTCATGCCATGAAAAACAAAGTAGGATCACCAGTTAGAGATCACCATTAAAAGTGAAATATATTTATCATTTTCAGGTCCATACTTGTATTTTGAGTTTCTACTAGCTTCTTCTAACATATTTACACCCTTTAAAACCCTCTATGATGTTGCCTCCAGGCAACATACCCATTTTTTGCCTTTTACATTCACACAATACATCTCAAATTATGATGCAATACTTTAAAAAAGAGGCAGGACCATAAGGAACCAATAGTAGTGTTTGAATTTGTCCCATGACTCTCTGGCGGCCAATTTGAAGACCCTGTTTGCCTCAAGCCCCCAGGAAGTGCGCCGGACTCAGATGAAAATATTCGTGCTGGCCAAACGGCGGTACTACACTTCCTTTTGGTTGCCAGGCCTGGAAACACTTTTTCCCATAGAGTGGCGAAGTCCCTCCCCTTCCGGTGGACCTCCATGGGACCTTATTTCGGAAAAATTATGTATTGAAGTCAATGGAGAGAGAAAGATTATCTTTCGATCCCGTTTGAATTGTGCCACGAATTACACATATGATGTTTGTCAATTTAAAAGATAATTTTGCAAGTCAAAAAAAAAAAAATGTGTCGTAAAACTGTGAAGTAACACATTTGTTTGTGTGAAACGCTCAATGAACTACATCTCTGGTCAACAACACACGTCACCAAGATGGCCGTCACTACTGTCTTGTCAACAAAACGATTGACTATCCTCACTATCACCACAATGAAACACGTCCTGAAGAATGTCATGCAAAGCTGCCTGCCTGCCTTCCTTTGATTCTCTCTGAACTGCCTGGTCGTTTTAATGTTTAATGTCAACCATTTGTGCAGATAGCATGAAGTAGAGAAGATCGCCGATGCTAACGTTAGCGTTAGCATTTCTCCCCCGGGCTTAAATGGTGTATTATAGAATGATCACACCGGTGACAGTACTATTCAAAGGGTTCACGAAATATGACTACTACTCTTACTGTTTAACATTTTGGGTTACTTAATGTTACTTCATGTTAAGGCTAATAAAAATGACAAGGCTGTAATGCTAACTAACGTGCTAGCTACTAGCTAGGTAGCTAACTTGATCAAGCCACTCCTGGTCCTTTCATCAGACGGGAAGCAAAAGAACGAGCAAGACCCATTGCTGGTATAATAACAACCTGGTACTAAGCACACAGGCATCTTGTTAAAGTTATCTTATCTTAGCCAGCGCCATATAGATAGATTATATCTATATTGCGCTGATCTTAGGTATCTGAATGGTGGAGGAAAACAATTGTGACATCACTTACGAGACTCTGGGATTTGTAGTCTTTCTAGTTACGTATTTTTCATAGTCTTATATTACAACAGTTTTACGACAAACTGTGACTTTTTTGACATGGAAATTATTTTTTAAGATTGACAAACATCATATGTGTAATTCATGGCACAATTCAAACGGGATCGAAAGATAAGTTTTCTCTCCCCATTGACTTCAATGCATAATTTTTCCGAAATAAGGTCCCATTACCCGGAAGTAAGTGGGCGTGACTTCGCCACTCTATAGACTTACAAGGGGAAAGAGTGGTCTGTAAATCGTTGGATAATTTTTTTTAAACTAAATAAACTACCCAGTATGAACACTTGTATAGCCCTTATTAAAAACATTCGTTCCTCAAGTTGTAAAAATGTGCTAATAACGTTATTCTGAGAGTTATTGCCCTCTGCATTATGAATGCGCATCTAACCCACGGGACCGCGCCGCCCGGCACGTTCATGTTACGTGTTCAGCACTACATGCGTTTATCTTTACCCATGGATGCACAATAAGAACGGACCCATATCGCCTTACTGCCAGCCCACGGAGCTGTAATAATGGATATATTGCATATGTTTGCTGTAATTCATCATTTGTAAAATATTATACTACATGGGCTGTATGATTAAATAAAGTTAATATTACCGACGTAGATGAACGTCCCTGTAGCTTCTTATTGCACTAAGAAGCTTATTGCACTGTATATATATACATATACATATATATATATATATATACAGTGCAATAATTCTTTCATGCTAAATGAAGCTCTGTTGCTTGGATATCACTAGATCCTGTTACAGCGTAATATAAAAGTACATAACGATTGATGTGTAAATTAGCATAATTACTAGCTAACCGCTAGCTGCTAACTGCCGCCTCGTTAATATCAAATCTATCATAATAACAAACCATTACCATGCTGTCATGAACGTGCGGTGCTGTTATGTGTACGCAAATTGACGTGCTTGATGTGAACGAGCATTTTGGGGGGCATGGTTAAAGTTGCGCATGCGCTATGAGCGCACATACGGGTACTTCTCAGGCATGCCGGGTAATCTGTGACGTTTCGCTCTCTCAAAAGTTGGGCCATTTTATCATCATGCGCGAATGAGCAACTCTCATAGGAATGAATGAGGCCCCGCCTCCCACGCTGTATCCAGTTCTTATTATACATCCATGGTTTGCCGCCTTTCCCACAAGGATCAGCTCAGCCATTTCTCGAGTAGCATGAAGCTGCAGCGTCGGAGACTGCACTCTCAGGGCCGCACTATCAGGACCCTAGTTTTTCGTGACACTGCCACCTAGCGAGCAGGAGACCTGAATATGAATGACAATGCAGAGAGTGTGAGTAATGTGAAGTGCTTTTAAAGTTTTATTTTGTTTAACATTAATAACAATTCCGGTGTCTTGAAATTAAGTGTGATTAGCTAACATTAACTATGATAGTCTTAAGGCAATACAAACAAACATCTGTTAGCTTATGATAGCTTCTAACAGTATTAAAGGCACTAAAAACAATTATTCGTTAGCTATAGCTTTCGGCAAAAGCATTATTAGCACAAGCATTAGTTTCGTTAGCATATTTGATTATTTGTTTAATGAAACTGTAGCGTGATTTTGGCAAGCCCAACTAGGTGTCCTACATCAATTGTTGATTTAATCACTAATTACAGTAAGAGTGTGAGTAATGTGAATCATGTTGTTTGTTTAAAGTTAACAACTATTCTGGTGTATTCAATTGGACAGCAATACAAGCAACACGTGCTAAATGTCATCTGTTAGCCTATGATGACTCACTGCAAAACCAACTGTTAGCATTTTTGTTTATTTGTTTAATGAAACCGTATGTTATGGTTATGTTATTTAGCAGAGGCTTTTATCCAAAGTGACTCACAAAAAACATAAAATAACCATAATTAACATTAGAATATCAATACAAATAGTTACATAGTCAGTTACATTACTTATTACATTTTTAACAGGGTAATTAGTCATCTGTAACCTACTACATTTAAAAAAAGTAAACTTCCCAACTCTGATCATTAATTATAGTCAGCTAATTAATTAAACTTCAAAGGATGACAAAAGCATGTCAATATGATCTGTCTGTCCGCTACATTAAATCAGCAGTAGCCTAAGTTCTGTCTTCAGTGTAAATGCTTCTTTAATAGTCATTGTATTACTATTTGAATTCATTGTAAATAATCTTAACTGTGCTGACTGCCTGTTTACTGTTTATCAGACAGTCTCATAATTCTGACATGTTTTGCAATATTGCATGAGGTGTTTTAGTCAGTTATTATTATTCTCATGGAGCGTTTTGAAATACAAGGGTATAAAAGCCCTTAACAATATGTGTGTTTTAATTTCAGTAACACTTTATTTTGAGGGTCACTTGTAGATTATCTACAATCTCTCAACAAACTCAGTAGCATGTCAATAGAACATCTGTTAGTTATATTAGGTTAACCATCTACAGATCAGTAGACCATCAGTAACAAGAGCTGTAAAACTGGATGGCAATATCTGTTGAGATTATTAATGCATATCAATTGTGCACCAATGACTTAGCCTTTCCCTATGCAATACTTTAGATTACATCTTGTTCTTATTGTTTCAAAGGCATGGCCAAAGGTTTGCCTTCTGGACTCTGGAGGCCAGAAGCTTGCTCGAGGGAACCCTTCAGCCAGTGTTCAGAGTGCCACGACAGAGTGCCAGAATGGATATCTCCCAGGAGAAGGTGGTCAACAGCAGACCAACAGCAGATTGAAGAATCCACAGTGTGGAAATTGTGCCCAATAAATGTATTCTGCACTGAAATGCCTCTCGGTCAAATTGCATGTTTATCTTTTGCAGCCTGGTGCATAAACACACTAACAGTTGTTTTTCAGTAATCTAGCACCTCTTCAAAGACACATTTGATTTGATTTATTTTGAACGTGTAATACAATAAAAAAATATATATAATAAATGTATGTCTACATGTACATACAATATACATTTACAATTATAAATAGATGATATCATTATTACTACAATATATATATATTTACGTTGTATGTCAAATTTGATAAGACAAATATAAAAGACTATCTTTTTACATCTGACATACAAAATACATTTGATATTAACAACAAATTGTTGTTGTAAAAAATAAATAAAATATACAATAATAAATATAATAATAATAATAAAAACATATTTTCATGCATGTAAATGTCTACTTTTGCGATTTTCATGCATTTTTAGATGGTTAATAACAAGCATTACAATGTCTACTTTTGCGGTCATCCAATCCGCTAGGTGGCGATGGTGCAAAACAACTAGGGTCTTGAGAGTGCGGTCCTGAGAGTGCAGCCTCCGACGCTGCAGCTTCATACTATTGCATTTCTCTCCAAGAAATGTGTCTAAAAACGTAATTTCCTGCGCATATCTTGTCTGGAAAAAAATGTATTCACAATA